TAGATTATATCGAGTTGGAATAAGCATCATCTAGTAACCCCTAGTAATCGTTTTTGCATCGTCAGGCATAATGAGTAAACGCCAACAGCATTAGAACAAGAATTACAGACACGAATTCCACACAAGTAGCCAGCAAAAAGAACGTACAGTTACCAACGGAGGCCGAGAGTCTGCCGAGCGGGACAAGCTGCACGTCGACTCGGTTTATCCTTTCAACCCCTCCAACCCGTCTATCCACAACCTCTAATTCGGAAGGCTCTGAAGGATCTGCGGGGCGTTTCTCATTTCCGGAAGGTGCACAGACCTTCAGGCGTCCCAAGGGCAAGGTCAGGATACGTGACAAAGTGCAGGAGGATCTCGAGGGCGAATTATAGGGTCGCCGGAGGTTAGGAGAGGTTGAAAGGTTACACAAGATTCAGACGTTTGAGAGACGATTCCATCGCATCGCTCGGCCTTGAAGATTTCCCAAGGTCAAGAAAAGAAGGAGTGAAGGACGAGGCACAATGCAGGACATCGGCGATCCTATGAAAGTGGAGGTTCCGAAGATCAACGACTTGTTCAGCCTCGACCCCTACATCAAGCCCTTCGAGAGGGAGATCAGGAGGAGGTGGGTTGGAAGGCCTCCGTTTGTGTCGTTTTCCGTTTTGTTTTATTTTCATTTCCATGTTTTGTTTGTTATTATAGATTTTGCAATATTATTTTATCGTAATTTGTGTATTTGCTGTACGTGTGATGCCTTTCCATAGGCTAATTTGTTGATTTCATTTATTTTCATTGTATGCTGGTTTTTAGAAACTTTTTCTGTATTTTCTTTGTTATTGTTAATATAGATTATATTTTCTAATGGGCTTTATCATATCTGATGTCATTAGTGTTCGTGTGATGCTTCTTCATGTTACGACATTTTTCAAACTGTTAGTTAATTCATTTATATATAGATATTTTTTAAAGATTTATGATTTTTTTCTCTGATTGCCAAATACAAAATATTTAGAATGGCTGTAAAAATTTATGACAGTCCCCCACTTAAAGAAAAGAGTGAATGAACCAGCATTTTAAATGTACAAACTATCTCAAATTTCACAGTTTGAACCAAAAACCTTCCCAACCAGGGGGCTTCGTTCTCAGACCCACTGCCGATTGCCTGTTTCCCAAGCTGTGCACTTGATAAAGTATATCTAAAGTTTTCCCCCAAAAAGTGTCCAAAATAATGCAAGTTATAAAAATGCAAATTAAGACAATTTTGCATAGATATGATAGTGTCCATACGAAGAGGAGAAAGTTATTTTTTTCCCCTGTCATGTGTGCATTCAAAGCTCAGACCATTGGGTGTCATTTTAGAGGCTAATGTGAGCCAGAAGAAGGATGCAGAGACAGGAAATCTCTTGTAATGGACATAAAGAGCACAAAAAGCCACCATTTTAGGCATAGAAGTAACTGCTTGCATGTCAAACATTTTATCATTAGATTTTAGGTCTGACTGATAAGCAGAACAATAGCAAAGAGAATAGGGATCCAAACTAAAGTATGATTCTTAAGGTAATTATCCAGACTAAACTTAGTTAAGTTTACAAGAGGACTGCTCCAGCAAGGGAGAAACGCAGTCTATAAGGGTTCTAGAGGTAGGGCTTCTGCCTGGAGAATACATAGTCATTTAGTGGTCTGGGGACAAAGCCAGCAAGTTAGCTAGGTTTATTTTTTAAGGTGGTCATTGTGGAAGTTTTGTGTGTTTAGGACAGGGTTCATTTGTTTGTTCGTTTCAGTTGGGAACTTAGTCTCGGATGAGTGTAATCCTTGCACAAAGCTAAGATAAGCCTACAGCCATTTATTGAGACTTGCAGATTTATACCTTACTGTTGCTGACATGCTTTTCACTTTGGTAATGGTCAACAAACACATGCACACCCACACGTACACGCACACGCACACTAACAAGCATATGCGTACACACATGCACTCACACATATGTATATGTATTCGTATATTTTAATTTTCCAGATATGGATGCTTTAAGAAATTACTCAGCCAAATAACTGAAGCAGAAGGAGGACTGGAGAAATTCTCTCGTGGCTATGAGACCTTTGGCCTCCATGTTAATCCAGACAACAGTGTGACCTGCCGAGAATGGGCTCCCTTGGCCCAGGGACTGTTCCTCAAAGGGGATTTTAGTAAGCACTAACATTGTCCATATTTATTTAGTGTGTGTGGGGGGGTAGCAGGTGCTTGTGAATATGTTTATAATGAACCATCTTTGTCCAATTTTTTGTTTCCAAACTCTACCTTCACAGAAAAAAAGATGTATATATATTCTTTATTTCATAAACTTTATTATGCTTCAGATAACTGGGAGAAGTGTGCACTGCCCTTTAAGAAGTTGGACTTTGGCAAATGGGAAATAACCGTACCACCCAACCCCGATGGATCCTGCCCCATTCCCCACTTGTCACGTGTCAAGGTGAGAAAGGCTGGATCCCCACAATGTTAATTTTATGGCATTATTTCCATGTTCAAATTGGGTTCGAGTCCCTTTAGATATTTTCCAATTTTGAGGGTGATTGCATGGATGAAAGGTTGTCTCTGATATTAAACATTCTTTTTTTTTCCTGAATGTGAAGTATTAGGTTAAAAGTTTTGGGTGTAATCATTTATGTTTTTGATACAGAATGTGTAATGGGTTTAAGTTAAAAGACCGTGGTAATCATTTATGTTTNTGGAGAGATGAGAAGAGAGGAGAGGGAGAGAGAAGAGAGGAGAGAGAGAAGAAAGAGTGGAGAGAGAGGAGAGAGAGAAAAGAGAGGAGAGAGAGAGGAGGGAGTCCGCGAGAGGAGGAGAGAGGAGGAGGAGGAGAGAGGAGGGAGGAGAAGGGAGGGAGAGGAGGAGAGAGAGAGAAAGATGAGAGAGAGAGAGAGAGAGAGAGGAGAGAGAGAGAGAGAGAAGAGAGAGAGAGAGAGAGGAGAGGGAGAGAGAGAGAAGAGAGGAGAGGAGGAAGGAGAGAGAGAGACGAAAGGAGAGGGGAGCGAGGGGAGAGAGAGAAAAGGAGAGAGACGGAGGGAGGAACAAGAGGAGAGTTGAGAGAGAAGAGAGGGAGAGAGAGAGGAGAGAGGGAGAGGGAGAGAGAGGAGGGAGGGTGAGAGAGAGACGAGAGAGGAGCGAGAGAGAGACGACGGAGAGAGAGAGAAGAGAGAGAGAGGGAGACGAGAAAGACAAGAAGAGAGAGAGAGAGAGGAGAGAGGAGAGAAGAAGAGAGAGAGGAGAGAGAGGAGAGAGAGAGAGAGAGAGAGAGAGAGAGAGAGAGAGAGAGAGAAAGAGAGAAGAGAGAGAGAGAGAGAGAGAGAGAGGGAGAGAGAGAGAGAGAGAGAGAGAGAGAGAGAGAGAGAGAGAGAGAGAGAGAGAGGGAGAGAGAGAGAGAGAGAGAGAGAGAGAAAGGGGCTGCTGTTGCTATGTCGCCCCAAATAACTCACACCCCAAATTCCCGTTTTTATGCCAAATCGAGTAGAGAGAACAGTGAAAGAGGGGAGTGGGTAGGGGGGGTAGTGGAGAGTAGAAATGAGACTGACAAAGACTGAAATGAAGATAGGGTGAAATTTCATTGGTTTGTGTGTGTGTGTGTGTTCTACCTTTTCATTCCCTTATTCTTTTTGTATTTTGTTCCTTCTGCTCTTTCATTCTTTCCTTTTATATTTCATTATCGGTCTGTTTTTTCTCTTATTACCTTTGTTTTTTCTTTCTTTTTTTCGCATATTTAGCGTCTCCGTTTTCTACCTTTTGTTTTCTTCTCTTCACTCTCTAGTTCCTTTTTTTCTTTCTTACCTTCTTCTCTACTTCTTCATCTTCTTCTCCTCTTGCTCTCCCACCTTTATTTATATTTTTCTCTTCCTTTATTCTTTTATATCTGATTCACATTTTTCTTTGATTTATTTTCATCATCTTCTTTCTTCTGTTTTATGCTTACATAGATTCCGTTTTAAAACTTCTTTTTTGTTTTCTTCTCCTTCTTCTTCGCCTGCCTATTCTTCGTCTTCTTCTTCTTCTTCCTTTCCTCCTCCTCCTCTACCCCCTTCTCCTCCTCCTCCTCTATCCCCTCATTTTCCACCTCCTCCTCTTCCTTCTCCTCTACCCCCTCCTCCTCCACTTTCTTCTCCACCTCCCCCTCCTCCTCCTTCCCTTCCTCCTGTTCCTCTACCCTCCTCCCTCTCCCTCCCTCTCCTCATCATCATCATCCTTTACTTTCCCCCTCCTCCATCCCTTCCTCCTGCTCCTCTACCCCCTCTTTCTCTTCCTCCTTCCCCTCCTCCTCCTCCTCTCTACCCTTCCCCTCCTCTTCCTCCTCCTGCTTCTCCTCTACCGCCCCCCTCCTCCTCCTCCTCCTCTTCCTCCTTCCCCTCCTCCTCCTTTTCTATCCTCCCCCTCCTCCTCCTCCTCTTCCTCCTCCTGCTTCTCCTTCCCCTCCTCCTCCTCCTCCTCCTTCTCTACCCCCCTTCTACTCCGCCCCCCCCCCCTCTCCTAATCCTGAAAACGGCGAGGGACGAGACTCATGACAAGGAAGTTATAGCCAGCGAGTGACGTCATAGCTAATCAACAACACCTTGTGTCTTGTGACTTTCTTCTCTCTTTCTTTATCTCTCTTTTCTCTTTCGCTATCCTTCTTAATTCTTTTTCTTTCTTTCTTTCTTTATCCTTCGAAATTCTTTTTCTTTCTTTCTTTATCCTTCTTGTTTTTTCTATTTCTTTCTTTCTTTATCCTTCTTCCTTCTTTCTATTTCTTTCTTTATCCTTCTCTCTTTTTTCTTTCGTTATCCTTCTTGCTTTTTTTTCTATTTCTTTCCTTCTTCCTTCTTTCTTTCTTTCGTTTTCTTTCTTCTCTTTCTTTTTTCTTTTTTGGTCTTTCTTTTTTCATCTTCCCTCTTTCTTTCCTTTTTCTTTCGTTCTTTTTCTTTCCTTTTTTCTATTTCTATTTCTTTACTTATCTCATATGACTATCATAATGGTAATCATAAGTA